ATTTGCATGGTAGTGAACTTAGGTATTTTACCAGACCTCGGTGTACTTGAATAGTAAATATAATCAATACCTCTTAAAATTATTTGTAGATGTGTGACAGTGGGTCCATATGTTCTCCTTGCTGCCTGGCACACAATACCACACCACAGTAAATTATTAATTGTCGAATTGTAACCTCATACTCATCTCAGCAAATTTTGGACTGGCATCAGTTAAGCTTATCAATTCTTTGTCTTCCTTCACTTGCAGACTGTACCATGGTTGTCTTGATTTGTATCCGGTAAATTCTCAGGAAGACCTATTATAGTTTACCTGTGGTACCACAAAGCTGCAGTAACATTATTTAGGTTTAATTGGGTCTTAGCTCTTAATTTGTGGGATTTTTTTTTATGTACTCCCTTGAGCCAAAGCATTTTACTATTCTTGATGTGTGTTATAGTTTACATTCTGAAATGAATGTAAATGAAGAGCTAGAACAAAGCTCCAGCAGGAGGTCTGGGAATAGCTGATGTGAGTGCAAGAAGGTCTTAAAGTAAAGCTTTAAAACCACAGAGATGTGAATTGTTTTGTATTAAGTGGGTGGTTACATAAGTTATTTGATAATCTCTTTCAAGAGGTAAATACATGGAGACAAGGAAATAAACATATTTTAGATATTATTCTAAATGATTGAAAATGAAATTACTGACTGATTATTAGAAGGAGGATGACTGAAAAGGTATTTTGGAGCTAAGTCAAAGGTAACCTCTGCTACTTAAGATGATTAAGTATGGTTTTTTTCTAGCTGTGAGGAAAAAAATATTCTTAAGCATTTTAATGGTGACTAGGGTGCAGTTTTCAGTATTATAAAGCATATTCTGCATATTCTCGTCTTCCTTGAATACTTTTCCACTTTATTTTAATTTTAATTTTTTATGTTATGTTAATCATCATAGTGTTCCAGGATTCATTGTTTGCGTATAACACCCAGTGCTCCATGCAGAACGTGCCCTCCTTAATACCCATCACCAGGCTAACCCATCCTCCCACCCCCCTCCTCTCTAGAACCCTCAGTTTGTTTTTCACAGTCCATAGTCTCTCATGGTTCATCTCCCCCTCCAATTTCTCCCCCTTCATTCTTCCCCTCCTGCTAAGCTTATCTCCTAAAGCCCATTTTGTTTGTCTTGGCATATTAATCCTTTAGTTAACCTATGTTCTGCACTATGTTGAAACCAGGTGCCATTTGCCCATATTTACAAGTAAATGATCTCTCCTTGTCATTTCAGATAAACTCCCTGAGAGTGTGCAACTAAGTTAATGTACTTGTTCTCTTACAGGAGTAATAAGAAGCTCTTTGAACTTTTTACTATTCATCTGATGCTTCAAGAATTACAAAGGACAACACATCCAGAGCAGGCCTTTCTCTGTATTAACCTAAATTCAACTCTGTTCAATTTGGGTTTGACAAAACGCAACTCCTTGGCCTCCAATGCAAGCCATTAGACTGGCTTATTATTATTTCATAATAATAATGTGTGTTGCTTATTTGTAAGATTGTAAAAATTACCAAAGTAACTAAAAGCCCACCAAGTAAAGTTATCAGTAGCATCATTTATCATGAAAAGTAGATTTTTTTTTTTAACTTTTAAGATGAAATCTATAGAAGCTGTGGAATTTTTGGACTGTTTCAGTTCAACTAAGGTAGTACTTACCAACGTACAAAACGAAATTTCCAGAATTAATGACAGTGGGATTACTTTTTGTAAGAGTGTTTTGGGGAAATTTTTAAAATTATGTGATTATTTGGAATAAAATTGGTGTTTCTGTGGGAAAGAGGATTAGATCATGTTGTCATTCTTTCTTAATATATTAGCAATTTCCCCTTTCAGAAGCAAAAGTACATAACTTTTAACTTGCCATCTTCATATCATAACTTTTGTATCGATCCTAGATTCACAAAAACTGATTTTTTTATTGTGCTGTTCACAGAGTACTTTAAAGAAAGAATTTTTTTCTATTTTTATTTTTTTCCAAAATAATTATCACCAAGTATATATGTACAACAAAAGTTTTTAAAAAAACCTGAAAAATAGGCAAAACTATCTTAGTCCCATCACCCAGGGATATCTCTTGCTACAGCCAAAGATGAGTGAAGTAGCCACAAGTCTGGGTGAGGTAGAGGTGGTGGGACTTTGGGCAGAACACTGCAAAACAAAGAGAAGGAGCATTGTCCTAAACACTTATAAAATTATGCTCTGTCAGTATATAATCTCATTTCCAGAAACTGGGAGAAATTTTCAGGAAACTTTTGGTCTCTTCAAAAGAATATAAGAAAATATGCCATTTGTGAAGCAGAAACAGAAAGCTGTAAAGAGAGAACAGACTAAGGTGAGTATGGTGACGCTTATAGGAACTAAAGAATGCAGAAGCAAAAGTGGACAGCAGACACTTCAGAAAACAGAATCAGTGTCACACACACACACACAAAGCAGCTCTCAGAATGCAGAGCACCCAGAGATGGTACCAGCAAGCGAGTGGACAGCCAATGGTAGGACAAAGGTTGGCACTTTAGCATGGGGTGTTGGATGTTTGTGAAAGGGAACAGAACAGGTAGAGCAGAAGCATTGTTCAAAGATAGAGTTGAATAAAGATTTGGGGGGACCAAAGAAAGATCTGCATGTAGAGATTCAAAGAACTCATCACGTTCCAGAAAAATCACTGAGAAAAGCATTCTATAATTAGACACATCCTGTAATTTAGACACAAATTATAATTTAAAGTATTAAAATTTGAGGATAAAAGCAAGAACAAACAAAAACCAGTAACCTGCAAGAAAAGAAAAAACAAGCCAACCTCATGCCATGCCAAGAGTTGATAGGAAACCATCCCTTCGCATTTTGGAGAGGGAAATTTTTAATCCAAGATTTATACCTAGTGAAGATGCCTTCACAGGTGAAGACAATGGAAGAAAGATATTTTCAGATATGTAAGTGTTCCGAAATTATACCACTTCTTGAGAAAAGAATCTAGATTATTCCAACCAATTTAGACATGAAAGAAAATTGGGTTTATTAAATCCACCTCATACCAAAAGACTGTAGTGAAACTGAAACCACTTAATCATAAATAAATTTAAATAATTGTAAATCTCTTTCTAAAATGGAGTGAAATGTTAAATTCTTCAAAAGGATAAATAATGGGAACAGCAATAATTGAGTGGTATTTGGGTAAACTGTATTAACTGATGTTAAAAACTAAGAATGGGGCCCTGAGATTGAGGTACAGATGGAGGAGCAAGTAGGTAAAATTTTATATATTTTCATCAGAAATAGAGTCAAAATGTTCCATTTCAAAATTAACTTTGACAATTAGAGAAATGAAGGATAAAGGAATGCTTTTGGAAAATGTCAAGGTCACTATTAAAATTAAAGGCAGGATAAATATTCTCAGAACACTGAAGAAGAAAAAATATATAGTCATAGCAAAAAATAAAAGCCAGAAACTTGTAAAGAACAAAAATATTTATTAGAATAAATAAAGGTGTGTTTTTAAATTATAAATTCTGTATTACCCTCTGCTGATAAATTTGAAAATCTGTATGAAATTAACTATTTTCTAGAAAACAACTTACCAAGAAATCTGCAATAGAAAATCATTGAAGTCTTTGATGAATTATGGATGAATTCTTTTTAAAAATGACATCAAGTCCAGGTGTTTTTCAGGGAAATTGTAATTTCCATTTCAAGGAGGAAATATTTAAAGCCATGTAAATTGTCCCGGAATGTAGAAAAAGCATCCTAACTCATTTTATACAGTTAGCCTGAACCCAGGACCAAAAATTGTCAAAGAAGTCAGAAAGAATTAAATAGATTGAAAAATCTAAAGAATTCTGGGCAAATCAATACCAACCATTCATCACCAGAACAATCCATGATCATATAGGCTAGCATGCATTCTAGAAATACAAGGTTAGCTTTCTGGTAGAAAAAAATATATTTAATCACTGAACTCTACCTCTGAAACTAATAATACAGTATATGTTAATTAAATTAAATAAAAAATTTTTAAAAAATATATATTTTACTGTGTTTTTAGAGTTAAAGGAGGAAAACCATGCAGTCATCTTGCCTAAAAATGGTATAATTCAATTTACATCTCTGATAAAACTTATTACAGTATGCTTAAAGGAATATGAAATCAATAACAAATTTACTATGAAGCACTATATACATGCTTAAGGTGAAGAATAAAGGAGTCCACTGAGGAAGTGTAACTGTGGGAAAGGAGAAAAAAAAGATCATGTGCAAATGATGTGATTACCTGGAAACCGTAGGATTTTTACAAAACTTAAGCAAGATATCCAATTGTAAAATAAACATAAAAAGCAAAAGCTTTTACATATTCCAGCAATAACTAATTAGAAATTATTTTTACTAAAAATAACATATTTAATAGTATATATAATAAACTTAAACTTGTATAAAATAAGAAACAAACATAACAAATGTTCAGAACCTAAACAAGGGACTGTCAAACTTTGCTGAGGGTCTCAAAGGAGACTTAATGGAGACATACATCATGTTACTGGCTGAAGAAACTTGATTTTGTTGGGATGTCAAATCTCCCCAAATTACTTCATTATTTCAAGCAAAATTATTTTCAGTCAGAATTCCAAAAGAATTCTCTTTAGAAATTGAAAAAATCATTCTAAAGCTAATTTGGACAATTAACCAGGCAAGATTAGAGAGAGAAGCTTTTGAAAATAGCCATAGCTGGTATTTGTTAAGTGTTTTAAGTACTGGACACTGAGCTGAGTTTTTACATGTATGATTTAATCCTTCTAAGAACTTTTTTTTTTAATCCTTCTAAGAACTTTGAGAGGGGTTAAAATCATTGCCATTTTACAGATTGGAAAAGAAACAGGCTCAAGGAGACCTGAGTAGCTGAACTAAGCCACTATCACCGCTGTGACTGGAGCTTAATCTGCTACATGAAGGGGGATAAGAATGAATTTACAGTACTAGATTTTTACCCATATTATACTTGTGGCTCAAGTCCATGCATTTTCATTCTCTCTCAATACCCCATTCTATTGGATTAAGAGAAGTAATTACTTCTAAAGTAAGTAAAGGTAAATAGAAAATTTTTGTTTTCAGTGGTGTAGTGTACTACACTTATCCTCCAGGTGCAGTACAGCTAAGAATGTTGATTGTCTTTCACACACACACCCTGAGCAGAAGGCAAAATTAAAAACTTTGGAGGCCAGAAATGATGATAAACATAAACTCAGAAGGGTAATTGAGGACTGGAGCCCAGTAGTTTTCCCTCAGTTACCTGCTGATCCCTAGTAGCCAGGGTAGGCAGACGGGGCAGAAGGCAAAGCCTTGCAACAATCAAGATGGTAGATTGAACCACTGATCTTTGCATAAAGTTAGGACTCCTGCAGGAAGCTTGTGTGATAGAATTAGGGAAAACCCTACTCTGCAGAGGGAGAAAGTGGAAATGCCTGTCTCAGCTTTGATTCCGGGGAGGAAATCGCTCCTGGATTTCCTAACTATTGGTCCACATTTACATGGACATGGGGCTTGAATTCACACTATGTTGGCAGTCAAAACAGTTAAGTAGAGAATCTGGTTGAAATGAGTTCCAGACTGGTTACCTTCAGGTGCCTGATAGAAGCATCCCAGACCTTAGAAGTTTCCTCAGATAAGGTGCCAAGGAACATGAGTTCACAACACACACAAAGTGAGAGCAAAAATTGTAAACAACAAAAATTATGGTATCTCACAATTCAGATACCGTAATACAACATAAATTATGTTCAGTGGTTTTAAAGAAACGAGGTAATTAGAAATATAATGAAACAAGACTAATAATTGACAAATTTTGAAAAGTAACTTCTAGAAGTGAAAATATCGAAATTAGAAAAGATACGGTTTAAAAGAAAATTGGCTGTAGAAATTACACAGAATGCCCATAGAGAAAAAAAAAATCTAAAAGATTATATTACATGAAGGATAAAGCATAAGGAGATCTAATATACATGTTAAATGGGTTCCAGGAGGGAATGGGGCAGAGATAGCATGTGAAAAAATAATGACAGAATAAATTATTGAGAACTGATGAAAAATATGTACCCCGGTTCAAGAATCCAAATGAATTAAAAGCAAGGTAAATTAAAAAATATCCATATTGTGGTGCCTGGGTGGCTCAGTCTGTTAAGCATCTGTCTTCAGCTCAGGTCATGACCCCGGGGTCCTGAGATTGAGCTCCACGTCGGGCTCCCTGCTCAGTGGGGAAACTGCTTCTCCTCCCTCCGCTGCTCCCCCTGCTTGTACTCACTCTCTGTCAAATGAATAAATAAAATCTTAAAAAGACATCCATATCTAAAAACATCATATTGATAGAAGATGAAAGAACACCAAGAACACCAAAAACAGAGTAGAAATTTGAAAGCAACCAGAGATAAGACATTAATTTCAAAGGGGCAATATAGATTGAAAATGACTTTCAACAACTGGTCCATTAAATGGTGGAATATTTTCAATGTACTGAAAAACAAGGCTGTCAAA